ATCAAACAACAGAGCTTTTATGGAAGCACATAAAGAAGGAGGATTCAGCACAAAAGCTTTAGTATAGAGCAAGAACTCAAAGATTGTGAGTCAACACAAATCCAAACAACATGAAAAGGTTATCCAACGGCTACAACATATTGGGCAACAAAAAGAACAAACAAGAATCTACTGCAACTGGTACACCGATTAATGCATGCAACATGTCATAATTCTGAAAATATATGAATGAATTACCTTTTAGCAATTTTTCCAGTAATCAACGTTTGAGCCTTTTAATGTGTTAGACCTCTTTATTTTTTGGTTTGTTGCCTTCCATTGATCATTTCAGAAATGTTGGAATTATTGTCCCCTGCATATATGGAAAAGAAATGTTAGATGGTAAATCATACACAATAAAACAACAATTTTGTAAAATTAATATAAGTTTTTGAATGTTAATGTAATTTTTACATGCTAACTACTTTTTTGATGAAGTTGTTCATATCTTAGCCTTTTTAAGCACCAGTACATGTGATTATCATGCTTTTAAGTCTATAAAAATTGTAAACTTATGATATAATATTACTGTCAATGTCCAAAATCACTTATTAAACAGAAATAATGTTCATATTTCACAAAACCTTCAAAGTTTTAAAAATTAAGTAATAGCAGAATCTAAACATTTGAAATATAGAATGTTTTGTAGCTGTAAGTAATGCAAAAAGGCATAAAACTACAACATTATGTTAGAATATATCATTATTCAGTATATATATGAAAAATATCTATATGTATGAGGTAGATGACACTTATCTTATTTGTTTCCAGTATGGTCGTGTCTTCTTCGTTGGTTTATACCTGCAAAGCATATGATAAAACTGTTAGAACTACTGTTACACCTGCAAACGAGTTGTCTTAGCATTTAAGTGAACAATATTATACATATTAGTATACTTCTTAGCTTTTAAAACACAATATTGCAACCCAACTTATATATTACCTTTGTTTTCTTTCACTGGTTGAAAATGAGTAACATAACTATAAATTTGATTTTAAAAAAACTCAAATTTTAAATAAAACAGTGAGTTAAATTACATGACATATTGATATAAGTGTGCATAAGTAAGTTTTCTAAAAAAAAAAGAAAAAAATATGGGCAGATATATCGGTAACAAGCACCGATATCACATAAAATGAAAAAACAAGATGGAAAATTACTTGAAAATCGAAAATAAAACTAAAAAAATGTAAACATAGGCAAAAAGTTTATTCTGACTGTGATTTGTTCAAACAATAGACCTTTTTTTTAAACGCTCAACATCACAGTTCGTCAGAAGGTAAGTCCAAACGGTAATCTCATAAAATATATATTAATATTAATATAAAAAATAAAATAAACCCTAAAAAAATACAGAT